TCTCTCTTTATTACCTCAGATTGTAGAAAAGTCTATGAGGAAATGTTCCTACTTCTCTCTCTCTTTATTACCTCAGATTGTAGAGAAGTCTTTGAGTAAATGTTCCTACTTCTCTCTTTATTACCTCAGATTGTATAGAAGTCTATGAGGAAATGTTCCTACTTCTCTCTCTCTTTATTACCTCAGATTGTATAGAAGTCTATGAGAAAATGTTCCTACTTTTCTCTCTATTTATTACCTCAGATTATATAGAAGTCTATGAGGAAATGTTACTACTTCTCTCTTTATTACCTCAGATTGTATAGAAGTCTATGAGGAAATGTCCCTACTTCTCTCTCTCTTTATTACCTCAGATTGTATAGAAGTCTTTGAGGAAATGTTACTACTTCTCTCTTTATTACCTCAGATTGTATAGAAGTCTATGAGGAAATGTTCCTACTTTTCTCTCTCTTTATTACCTCAGATTGTATAGAAGTCTATGAGGAAATGTTACTACTTCTCTCTTTATTACCTCAGATTGTATCGAAGTCTATGAGGAAATGTTCCTACTTCTCTCTCTCTTTATTACCTCAGATTGTATAGAAGTCTATGAGGAAATGTTCCTACTTCTCTCTCTCTTTATTACCTCAGATTGTAGAGAAGTCTATGAGGAAATGTTCCTACTTCTCTCTCTCTTTATTACCTCAGATTGTAGAGAAGTCTATGAGGAAATGTTCCTACTTCTCTCTCTCTTTATTACCTCAGATTGTATAGAAGTATATGAGGAAATGTTCCTACTTCTCTCTCTCTTTGTTACCTCAGATTGTAGAGAAGTCTATGAGGAAATGTTCCTACTCTCTCTCTCTTTATTACCTCAGATTGTATATAAGTCTATGAGGAAATGTCCCTACTTCTCTCTCTCTTTATCACCTCAGATTGTAGAGAAGTCTATGAGGAAATGTTCCTACTTCTCTCTCTCTCTATTACCTCAGATTGTATAGAAGTCTATGAGGAAATGTTCCTACTTCTCTCTCTCTTTATTACCTCAGATTGTAGAGAAGTCTATGAGGAAATGTTCCTACTTCTGTCTCTCTTTATTACCTCAGATTGTAGAGAAGTCTATGAGGAAATGTTCCTACTGCTCTCTCTCTTTATTACCTCAGATTGTAGAGAAGTCTATGAGGAAATGTTCCTACTCTCTCTCTTTATTACCTCAGATTGTATATAAGTCTATGAGGAAATGTCCCTACTTCTCTCTCTCTTTATTACCTCAGATTGTAGAGAAGTCTATGAGGAAATGTTCCTACTCTCTCTCTTTATTACCTCAGATTGTATATAAGTCTATGAGGAAATGTCCCTACTTCTCTCTCTCTTTATTACCTCAGATTGTAGAGAAGTCTATGAGGAAATGTTCCTACTTCTCTCTCTCTTTATTACCTCAGATTGTATAGAAGTCTATGAGGAAATGTTCCTACTTCTCTCTCTCTTTATTAAGTCAGATTGTATAGAAGTCTATGAGGAAATGTTCCTACTTCTCTCCCTCTTGATGTATTACATCAGATGAGAAACCTTCTTCTCTCTTGTGTTACAGGGGGAAGTTTGGTCAGGTCTTCAAACTGGTTGAGAAGGCAACGAAAAAGTTCTGGGCGGGGAAGTTCATCAAGGCGTATTCGGCGAAGGAGAAAGATAACGTTCGGCACGAGATCAGCATCATGAATAGCCTCCATCACCCCAAACTGGTTCAGTGCATCGATGCCTTCGAGGGGAAGTCTGACATCGTCATGGTGCTCGAGATGTACGTAAACACATTCTGAGAAACGTCAAATCCTGATAAAAAAGTTCAAATTCTTCAATTCTGAGAAAAAAATATAAGATTTTGAGAAAAAAGTCACATTTGAGAAAACAGTCAAATTCTGAGATGTACGTAAACACTGCGTTTTTAGGGATTTTAAACAGCAGCTTCAGTGGAGAAATGGCAATGAAATTCTTCTGACCTGAGCTCCTCCAACAATGCAACATATATAATAAAATACAAATAAAAAGTAGTGCAAAAAGTCTACAGATGGAGCACTCCACACAGATAGGACTCCACCCAGCGGATTCCAACCAAAAACCCAGCGGATCCCAGTGGCTGGGGGCGTTGCCAAATTGCTAGAGGGCGTTGCCAAATTTCCCCATTTGTTCAATTACAGGATTTAACCATGAGATGGCACTTCATTCAGAAATACACAAAGACAACTGGGTGTTGTAGAACTTAGTCTGTTTGCAATGTTGCAGCTCTGCAGTTGTGTTTGTTGAATACTGTAGCATTTAATCACTTATTTGTTATGGTCTAACCCTCCACCCCGGATAAAAGCACGTTAAGAAGCCCCTTTTCTCTAATTCCACAACCTTGGGTTGAAATAACATTAAGAGAACGGATTAGTAGGCTGTTAGTGGTTAACGTGTGTTGCTAACGTTATCCGGAATCCTAGCCTAATCTGTTATCTGTAAACGTTCCCTAAATCAGTAGATTTAGGGATAATCTTCACGGAATCCACTAACATCCTTTAATATACATGTTAATTTGACTCAGATGTGCTGATAATATCCGCAATATACATCTTTAAACGTCTTCTTACCTTTCAAAGTCCAACACGAACGGTATATTATGCTGCAACTCTACTGTGCTGCTAGCCGCAGATAGCCCCGCAAGTCAGCGGCAAGCTAACTTCCGGGGAACTATTGAGAGCTCCACGATCCGCCATTGCTGTAAGAAAACTGGTCCATTGGAGTGAACGGAGATGTCGTAACTCTTCTATCTATATGGCGCTGCATCAGATACCTGTAGACCCATCAGCTGTTTAGTGTGGCAGCTTTTTAATCACGGCTCCCCCTGGTGGATCCATGATCCATTGCAGCTGCTTTCATTATAATTACATGTATTTATCAAGGGGGCGTATCAAGTCCTGCGGGGGGTTTTCCTTTCAGTGAGGGCCCACCCCGTGCAGATCACGGACCCGCACGGGTAGGGGCGTCCGAAATGAGGGTTACCCTACATCTGTATTCCATGAATAAAACAACCATCCTTCAGGAGCAGCTGGTTAGCTAGTTAGAAACCTGGAAACAAGTTAATTTAGTTCTTGTGTCTGATTCACCAGCTCTTACTGTGATGTGATGTTGCTTTAAGTGAATTATCTGCACTTTCCATGTTGTTCGGAGTTTGAATCTCTGTGGTTTTTGCACTTGTACATCGCTTTGTGATGTAATGTAAAAACAAAGGGCTGTGAATTCAAGGATGCAGGGGTTTTATTATCATATGCACAGTAGCTCCTCCAACAATGCACCATATTATATATAGGACACAAAACAAAATAATAATAATTAGGGCCGGGACTTTAACGCGTTAATTAAGATTAATTAATTACACAAAAATTAACGCGTTAAAAAAATTAACGCATTTTAATCGCACTTATTTTTGCACCGCGGAACGTTTCTCACTGGATGAGTTTCAGGCATACCGATTATACTGGAGCACCAACTAACGTTCATGACTTCAGACAACAACAAACCACAGTGAACAACAGTGGGAAATGTTGTTTTAAAAAACGGACGGATGGAAGCGTCGATAAGAGCACGGTTGTGTGCAAATTATGCAAAAAGCAATTCGCATATCACCGCAGCACATCAAGCCTCAAGTATCACCTCAATGCAAAACATATAGCAGCTAGCGTGGAAGCTAGCGTGGACGTTAGCCTCTTTTATCGCGTTCACACCATAAAGAGCCGGTACTAAAATTAGTTCACCCCACGAAAGTCCCTGCTAGAGAGCAGGGACTTTCGTACGGCTCTCTTGTGAGAAGAGAGCTATATGTCTGATTGGCTGGGCGGATTGCAAACCACGCCCCGTAAAACTCCCAAAAAGTTTTGTGAAGCCGCCATTGTCGCCATATCCTCGCATTAGCATTATTAGCATTAGCCCAGCGCAGAAACGCAGAGAGACTAACTTATGGCAACACAAAATAAAGCGGTGGAGATGAGGAGGTGTCGGCGTTCTGGCGATTTACTCGGAAGGCTTCAGTAGAAGCTGCTGGGACTCCCAGCAGCTTCTACTGAAGCCAGTCCCCAACTCCGGGGACTTCCGGCCGGGGACTTCGGCTGGCAGTATACGCCGTGAAGTGGTTTGCGGCCTGCCAGTAAACCCAAAGCAGAAGAAGAAGAAGTGACGTCAGCGGCTTCATTTGCCTAATCCTCCCCCAGGTTCAAAGAGTTCTCATGAACCTTTGTGGGAAAAGTACTGCGGTGTGAATGCGCCTAATGGTATACTAAAATCCATGTGAAAAAAATTGCTTCTCACTGTTCTCAGGTCAAATATTTATATGTGATTAAAAATGCGATTAATTTCGATTAATTAATTACAAAGCCTCTAATTAATTAGATTAATTTTTTTAATCGAGTCCCGGCCCTAATAATAATACAAAAATAAAAAATAGGAGTACGATACATCTTAAAGGTCCCGTGTCCTGCTTCTCTGGTTCTGACCCGTCCCCTTGTGTTCTGTAGCTTCTGCATGTGAACGCTCTGCAGAGTCTCAAACCCTCAAAGTGCAGCCTGCAGGGAGTAACACTCTGCCACAGAGAAGACCTGTCTGTGCTGCCCCAGAACGCCTCGCTGGAGGTTTCTCTTTTTCCATTGTTTGCTTCCTGAGTATAGTGACGTAACCTTACCCAGGTCCAAATGGACCAATCCGTGGAGCTCCTCTCACACACACACACACACACACACACACACACACACACACACACACACACACACACACACACACACACACACACACACACACACACACACACACACACACACACACACCTTATCTTTTCTCAGCCTCGGCTCCGTGGATCTCCACTCACAGTTCGCCACACACTCACGTGTGTGTGCTCAGGCTGAGCTCTGCGCTGTCTCGCTGACCCCACGCAGCAACCAGGAAGCGACCCCAGTAACCCAGCTCACACTGTCCGCTCCTCACCGCAGCGAGCCCCCCAACGTCCCCCCAACACGGCCCCCAGACCCCACGCAGCATTCTCATCTGTTTGTCATCACTGGTGTCATTTCCTGGTTGCTAACAAACGCCATTGTAAAACATAAACACTGATGTTCCGCTGTAACGGTGGTGGACTAATCAGAACAGAGTGGGCGAGCTGACCAATCAGAGCACAGTGGGCTGACAGGGAGGGGGGGGGGCAGGAGCTCCAACAAGGCGTTTAGGACAGAGAGTGAATACACACACTATACAGAGAGGCTGTGAGAAACCAATGAGAGTTTGGAACATTGAACAATGTGAATCTATTCTAGTCGACCTCAACGATGGAACTATGATCAGTGGAAATGGCCGTGGGAGCTTTAACAAAATAGTGCAGGTGAAAGAAACAGAATCTAAGGTTAAATATTGTACAGTGAAATGCAATTAAATACTGTTTGATCCAGTGATAACTATTAAGATAATACATGAAATACATTCTGATGAATGCTTTGTGTAGCAACTGGTGTCATGAGGTTTATGTCTGGAGGCTACAGTTGATATGAAAGCTAGCAGCTGGTTAGCTCAATGCATCGAGATATTAACGAGTATGTTGTTTCTTAACATTATACTTTTAAAGCAGTCGTGAAGCAAAGAGATCCATGTGATCCCTGAAAACCTTAGCTGAGTTAAGATAGCCGTCAAAGGGAAGGTGAAGAAATCTACCTTTCAGCTTTTTCTAAAACTCCAAATGTTAATCCTCAGAAAACTTCAGTTTTTGTCACTGTTACTGATAATAATGTTGTCTTCATCCATCTTGCTTTAGTGTAGGAATATAAAAACCCGCAGCAGACGAGACGTTTCTGTTTCTGAGAACGTCAGAAAAGAATGTAGGGGCCGAGCATGAGAGGAATGTGAGCAGCTATTTCCTGTCTGCTAAATATAGATCTGGCTCTGAACAAAAACAAGGCTTTATCTGCGTTTACTGTGAAAACATCATATTTACTTTATTACCCCGAGTTCGACCAGAATCTCAAAATGTCTGCAGATTAAATGGAAAGAACTGCTCACATTTAAACCGGTTGGAAAAAACATTATCTGCTAAATAAACAGGGAGAGCTTGCACAGGAAGTGGGTTGTTAACATTCAGTAAATAAATAACAATAATCTGAAGCTTCAGCACTGATTAAAGATCACATCGTTAAAAAAAGGACATTTTACTTTAATATCTGTGAACAGCAGCTCATGTTTTTAATTGGAGATGTTTCCGTTCAGGATCCAGGGATCGGTTATAAATTAGAAGTTTCAGTAAGACTCAGGAACATTATTATATATTTCTAACAGCAGGAGTTGCTTCTGTTCAGGATCTCTGGCGGCGAGCTGTTTGAGCGGATCATCGATGAAGACTTTGAGCTGACGGAGAGAGAGGTGATTAAATACATGCTGCAGATCATCGACGGGGTGAACTTCATCCACAAGCAGGGCATCGTGCACCTGGACCTGAAGCCAGAGAACATCATGTGTGTGGGGAAGACCGGGAGCAAAATCAAGCTCATCGACTTCGGCCTCGCCAGGCGACTAGGTCAGTTTAATATCTAACAAATTATCTCATTCTGAGAAAAAAGTCAAATTATCAAATTCTGAGGAAAAAGTCAAATTCAGAGAAAAAAGTCAAATTCAGAGAAAAAGTCGACTTTATGATTTTTGAAGTAAAATGCTAACGTTGGGCTATAAAGGAACTACAGCTTAAAGCTACCAGGTTTTTTAACCGTAACATGTTGGTTCTGTTCTCTGACAGAAAACGCCGGGACTCTGAAGGTTCTGTTCGGGACTCCAGAGTTCGTGGCTCCTGAAGTGATCAACTATGAAGGCATCAGTTATCCCACCGACATGTGGAGTATAGGAGTCATCTGTTATATACTGTGAGTCAAGCTAACGTGCTAACGAGCTAACGAGCTTCTGTGAGTCTGTTTAACCCAACAAAGCTTTCCTGTTGTTTTAATTTCACTCAGTTTTCTTTATTTTAAAGTCAGAAGGTAAAGTGTATTTGTATTGATTTTGTTCACTTCAACACTGTTATCTTTAGCTTAGCGTCACTTAGCTCAGTTTCATTTTATTTTATATCACCTTGGGTTATTTTCCCTAATTTAAATAACTGTAACATAACTTATCTTAGCATATATCATTTGTCAAATTTGATGGTTCAACTCGTTATAACTTTAGCAATTCTACACTTTAGGTTAACTTTTATTTTAATTAATATTCCTCAGCTTTTATGAAGTTAAATAATTTTTCTGTAGTTCTGAGGTGAAGTTTTGGTTGTAATGAACGTCTCTGTGTGGTCGGGTCTCAGGCTGAGCGGTCTGTCTCCCTTTATGGGCGACAATGACAACGAGACTCTGTCCAACGTGACCTCGGCCTCCTGGGACTTTGAGGACGATGCCTTTGACGAAATCTCAGAAGACGCCAAAGACTTTATCACCAACCTGCTGAAGAAAGACATGAAGTAATAAAACTCACAACGTGTTCGGACAGCAAGTAGAGCAAGAACAGACATGACCTTTAAAACTGACTGGGTGTGTGTGTCTGTGTGTGTGTCTGTGTGTGTGTCTGTGTGTGTGTGTGTGTGTGTGTGTGTGTGTGTGTGTGTGTGTGTGTGTGTGTGTGTGTGTGTGTGTGTGTGTGTGTGTGTGTGTGTGTGTGTGTGTGTGTGTGTGTGTGTGTGTGTGTGTGTGTGTGTGTGTGTGTGTGTGTGTGTGTGTGTGTGTGTGTGTGTGTGTGTGTGTGTGTGTGTGTGTGTGTGTGTGTGTGTGTGTGTGTGTGTGTGTGTGTGTGTGTGTGTCAGGAAGCGCCTCACCTGTACTCATTGCTACGATCACAAATGGCTGAAACAGGACACCAACACTATGACGGCCAAGAAACTCTCCAAAGAGAGGATGAAGAAGTACATCCTGAGGAGGAAATGGCAGGTAAACAACAACAACAACAACAACATGAGAACAATACAGAAAATGTACAGCATGACGCAGCATATTTAGAGCATGAAGCAGCATATATACGATAGGATGTAACGGTCTCTTCTTCTGTGGCAGAAAACGGGCCACGCCGTCCGGGCCATCGGGCGCCTCTCCTCCATGGCCATGATGGCCGGAGTCAGTGCCAAGAAGGGGTCGCCCACCGAAGGTAGAGAGAGTTATTCTGACGTCTGTTGAGAGTGTGTGTTTTCTGCAGAGTGGGAAGTAGTGGAGTATAAATACTTCCTTCCTGTGCTTAAGTACATGTTTCTGGTATCAGTACTTTACTCCACTACTTATTTTTCTGACGACTTTTCACTTTGACTTCTTACATGTTGAACATAAATACCTGTACTTTCTACTTCTTACATGTTGAACTCAAATACCTGTACTTTCTACTTCTTACATGTTGAACCCAAATACCTGTACTTTCTACTTCTCACATGTTGAACTCAAATACCTGTACTTTCTACTTCTTACATGTTGAACCCAAATACCTGTACTTTCTACTTCTTACATGTTGAACTCAAATACCTGTACTTTCTACTTCTTACATGTTGAACCCAAATACCTGTACTTTCTACTTCTTACATGTTGAACTCAAATACCTGTACTTTCTACTTCTTACATGTTGAACCCAAATACCTGTACTTTCTACTTCTTACATGTTGAACTCAAATACCTGTACTTTCTACTTCTCACATGTTGAACTCAAATACCTGTACTTTCTACTTCTTACATGTTGAACTCAAATACCTGTACTTTCTACTTCTTACATGTTGAACACAAATACCTGTACTTTCTACTTCTTACATGTTGAACACAAATACCTGTACTTTCTACTTCTTACATGTAGAACTCAAATACCTGTACTTTCTACTTCTTACATGTTGAACTCAAATACCTGTACTTTCTACTTCTTACATGTTGAACTCAAATACCTGTACTTTCTACTTCTCACATGTTGAACTCAAATACCTGTACTTTCTACTTCTTACATGTTGAACTCAAATACCTGTACTTTCTACTTCTTACATGTTGAACACAAATACCTGTACTTTCTACTTCTCACATGTTGAACTCAAATACCTGTACTTTCTACTTCTTACATGTTGAACTCAAATACCTGTACTTTCTACTTCTTACATGTTGAACTCAAATACCTGTACTTTCTACTTCTCTCATTTTCCAAACAGCTGGTTCCTTTAGTCTGAATGTGTGTTTGATGCGTGATCATTATTCTTTAGAGTCATTGCGTGCCTATTGATTTGAACACGATCCGTGTATCCATCATTTCCTGGTCTTCTCTAAAGAAGAGGGACCAATGGAAACGTTGTCATGTTGCCGTTGTTCAGCATGGAAACATTCATTAGCTAACAATGACATTATTGTTCTATTAATATAAAGGGAGGTCAGGTACTCTTTAAAACAGCTGCTAGTTATGGGTACTTTTTACTGAAGTACATTTCAAAGTTCTTTACTTTTACTTGAGGAAAGAAGTTTAGTCAGTACTTCTACTTTTAGTATTTTTAAACACGAGTATCTGAACTTCTACCCGAGTAAAGGATGTGTGTACTTTTGCCATCTCTGGTTATCTGGTATTGTGACTGTGTGTGTGTGTGTGTGTTTTCAGAGGATAACCAGTTCCTGGAGTGTTTGGAGAACGAGCAGAAGACGGAGTGTAAGCCGACCTTCAGCTCCGTCATTAAAGACGTTGAAGTGGTCGAAGGCAGCGCCGCTCGCTTCGACTGCAAGATCGAAGGTACGAGACCCAACAACAAACAGACCGATTGTTAGAATCATCTCCCCGTCCCCGTCTTGAGCTTCAGTCTCAGGATCCATGTGTCTGTGGTCCTCTCCAGAATGGAAGGAGTCATCACATACAGAGCATCAACTAGTTCCTGAACAGTGTCCTTCACATGCTGATATCCAAGAGAGGAAGTTACACAGTCACAAGATGGAGGAATAGAAAGCAGTATTCAATGTTCACTTCAGATTAGCTCCACGTCAGAAATGAGCATGCTTGATGTCTCTCTCCATAGAGGCTGAACCATCATGTTAATCACATAGCTATCATCTGCCTCAAGCAGTCCTGATGCTCTTCTAGGTAATCACACATCCTGTCATGTTCACAGCTACAGTTGGGATACCTTTGATATCATGTTACTCTCATGTTGGAGGAGGACACTCAGGATTTTCCCACACGGATTAGTAAAAAACTGAGGACATGCAATATAAAGCTAAATGTTTCTCCAGGTTACCCCGACCCAGAGGTGGTGTGGTACAAAGACGAGAAGCCCATCAAAGAGACCCGCCACTTCCAGATCGACTACGACGAAGAAGGAAACTGCAGCCTGGTCATTTCAGAGGTCAGAGGTCACATCATCAGACTTACAGGCTTCACTCACAATTTAAATTCAAACTTAGATAAATGTCTCTCAGTCAGTGCTACTCTCTTTTCTACAGGACTCACCGTTTCTGAATATACTGCTTAAAAGTGCTGACAATGCATCTCATTGACTCCCATCTTAAGAACTTTTCAGAACAAATGCACAAATAAATTCCATTTGAAATTAACAATAGACTGACACGTTTTTAATCAGCGTTCCTATTGCTGCAATATACCAGCCGTAAGTCAGGACGTTGAATATACTCTGAGCTTCAGAATCAGAGTTCCTTCATTAGTCCCACAGCGGGGACATTGTTAGTTAGCTAACTAATAAAATATAGGAAAGACAAGCACACATTAGTGATGGAATCAAAGACACATAAATAATGAGTAGCAGCTATTTAAAAGAAAACAAGTTACATATTCGGTGTTGAGACGTTATATCCAGGGGTGCACATCACTTTTTGAGTGAGTTACTCAGATGAGTACCAGGAGACAGCGTTTGGTCCTCACCCCACACGAAGCGTGGTCCTCCTCAGTGTCTCCTTCACTGTCCTCTATTCACACTTCTTGCATGCTAGATGATGAAGATGATGAAGATGATGAAGATGCACCTCCCTGTCTCTTTTTAAGCCTCCGATTTGCTTTCTCCAAAACTTGTTGCCAAAACTGTGAAGTCCTTGCATTTCCTGAGGCCAAGTTGGAGGATCAAATACTAAGAAATGATCACATGACTTGAAGTCATATCTGATTTCAGATGTGGGAAGTTACTAAGTACACTTCTTCAAGTACTGTACTTCAGTACAATTTTGAGATATTTGTACTTTACTTGACTTTGATGCTACTGTGTACTTCTACTCCACTACAGTTCAGACGTACATGGTGTACTTCTACTCTACTACAGTTCAGACGTACAGGGTGTACTTGTACTCCACTACAGTTCAGACGTACATGGTGTACTTGTACTCCACTACAGTTCAGAGGTACATTGTGTACTTATACTCCACTACAGTTCAGAGGTACATTGTGTACTTATACTCCACTACAGTTCAGAGGTACATTGTGTACTTATACTCCACTACAGTTCAGAGGTACATTGTGTACTTATACTCCACTACAGTTCAGACGTACATTGTGTACTTATACTCCACTACAGTTCAGACGTACATGGTGTACTTGTACTCCTCTACATGTATTTATACCTTTAGTTACTTCTCAGATGTGGATGAATGATGTGAAATCTAATCAAGTGTTGAATCAGACTTTAGTTCCACCTGGAGTAAATCCACCAGCTACCCTGCAGTATACAAAGTACTTCAAACTAGCTGCACCTTTACCAGCTTTGAGAACACTTTCATGATCAATCATTATAAAACATATCATATATATTATTCTGAAATGGACCAATCTGCACAACGACTACTTTCACTGTCGCTACTTTCACTATATTTTGATGAGAATACTTTTATACTTTCACTTGAGGAACATTTTAAATGCTTTTACTGTAACAGAGTATTCCTACACTCTGGTACTTCTACTTTGACTCAAGTACAAGATCAGAGTACTTCTACTTTTACTCAACTACAAGATCTGAGTACTTCTACTTTTACTCAAGTACAGGATCTGAGTACTTCTACTTTTACTCAAGTACAAGATCTGAGTACTTCTACTTTTACTCAAGTACAAGATCTGAGTACTTCTACTTTTACTCAAGTACAAGATCTGAGTACTTCTACTTTTACTCAAGTACAAGATCAGAGTACTTCTACTTTTACTCAAGTACAAGACCAGAGTACAAGATCTGAGTACTTCTACTTTTACTCAAGTACAAGACCTGAGTACTTCTACTTTTACTCAAGTACAAGATCAGAGTACTTCTACTTTTACTCAACTACAAGATCTGAGTACTTCTACTTTTACTCAAGTACAAGATCTGAGTACTTCTACTTTTACTCAAGTACAAGATCTGAGTAGTTCTACTTTTACTCAAGTATAGGACCTGAGTACTTCTACTTTTACTCAAGTACAAGATCTGAGTACTTCTACTTTTACTCAAGTACAAGACCAGAGTACAAGATCTGAGTACTTCTACTTTTACTCAAGTACAAGACCTGAGTACTTCTACTTTTACTCAAGTTCAAGATCTGAGTACTTCTACTTTCACTCAGGTACAAGACCTGAGTACTTCTACTTTTACTCAAGTACAAGACCAGAGTACTTCTACTTTTACTCAAGTACAAGATCTGAGTACTTCTACTTTTACTCAAGTACAAGACCAGAGTACTTCTACTTTTACTCAAGTACAAGACCTGAGTACTTCTACTTTTACACAAGTACCAGATCTGAGTACTTCTACTTTTACACATGTACCATATCTGAGTACTTCTACTTTTACTCAAGTTCAAGATCTGAGTACTTCTACTTTCACTCAGGTACAAGATCTGAGTACTTCTACTTTTACTCAAGTACAAGACCTGAGTACTTCTACTTTTACTCAAGTACAAGACCTGAGTACTTCTACTTTTACTCAAGTACAAGACCAGAGTACTTCTACTTTTCCTCAAGTACAAGACCTGAGTACTTCTACTTTTACACAAGTACCAGATATGTGTACTTCTACTTTCACTCAGGTACAAGACCTGAGTACTTCTACTTTTACTCAAGTACAAGACCAGAGTACTTCTACTTTTACTCAAGTACAAGACCTGAGTACTTCTACTTTTACACAAGTACCAGACCTGAGTACTTCTACTTTTACTCAAGTACAAGACCAGAGTACTTCTACTTTTACTCAAGTACAAGATCTGAGTACTGCTACTTTTACACATGTACCAGATCTGAGTACTTCTACTTTTACTCAAGTTCAAGATCTGAGTACTTCTACTTTCACTCAGGTACAAGATCTGAGTACTTCTACTTTTACTCAAGTACAAGACCTGAGTACTTCTACTTTTACTCAAGTACAAGACCTGAGTACTTCTACTTTTACTCAAGTACAAGACCTGAGTACTTCTACTTTTACACAGGTACCAGATCTGAATACTTCTACTTTTACACATGTACCAGATCTGAGTAGTTCTACTTTTACTCAAGTATAGGACCTGAGTACTTCTACTTTTACTCAAGTACAAGATCTGAGTACTTCTACTTTTACTCAAGTACAAGACCTGAGTACTTCTACTTTTACTCAAGTACAAGACCAGAGTACAAGATCTGAGTAGTTCTACTTTTACACAAGTACCAGATCTGAGTACTTCTACTTTTACACATGTACCAGATCTGAGTACTTCTACTTTTACTCAAGTTCAAGATCTGAGTACTTCTACTTTCACTCAGGTACAAGATCTGAGTACTTCTACTTTCACTCAGGTACAAGACCTGAGTACTTCTACTTTTACTCAAGTACAAGACCAGAGTACTTCTACTTTTACTCAAGTACAAGATCTGAGTACTTCTACTTTTACTCAAGTACAAGACCAGAGTACTTCTACTTTTACTCAAGTACAAGACCTGAGTACTTCTACTTTTACACAAGTACCAGATCTGAGTACTTCTACTTTTACACATGTACCAGATCTGAGTACTTCTACTTTTACTCAAGTTCAAGACCTGAGTACTTCTACTTTTACACAAGTACCAGATCTGAGTACTTCTACTTTTACACAAGTACCAGATCTGAGTACTTCTACTTTTACACATGTACCAGATCTGAGTACTTCTACTTTTACTCAAGTTCAAGATATGAGTACTTCTACTTTCACTCAGGTACAATACCTGAGTACTTCTACTTTTACTCAAGTACAAGACCAGAGTACTTCTACTTTTACTCAAGTACAAGACCTGAGTACTTCTACTTTTACACAAGTACCAGATCTGAGTACTTCTACTTTTACACATGTACCAGATCTGAGTACTTCTACTTTTACTCAAGTTCAAGATATGAGTACTTCTACTTTCACTCAGGTACAAGACCTGAGTACTTCTACTTTTACTCAAGTACAAGACCTGAGTACTTCTACTTTTACTCAAGTACAAGACCTGAGTACTTCTACTTTTACACAAGTACCAGATCTGAGTACTTCTACTTTTACACAAGTACAAGACCAGAGTACAATATCTGAGTACTTCTACTTTTACTCAAGTTCAAGATCTGAGTACTTCTACTTTCACTCAGGTACAAGATCTGAGTACTTCTACTTTTACTCAAGTACAAGACCTGAGTACTTCTACTTTTACTCAAGTACAAGACCTGAGTACTTCTACTTTTACTCAAGTTCAAGATCTGAGTACTTCTACTTTCACTCAGGTACAAGACCTGAGTACTTCTACTTTTACTCAAGTACCAGATCTGAGTACTTCTACTTTTACACATGTACCAGATCTGAGTACTTCTACTTTTACTCAAGTTCAAGATATGAGTACTTCTACTTTCACTCAGGTACAAGACCTGAGTACTTCTACTTTTACTCAAGTACAAGACCAGAGTACTTCTACTTTTACTCAAGTACAAGACCTGAGTACTTCTACTTTTACACAAGTACCAGATCTGAGTACTTCTACTTTTACACATGTACCAGATCTGAGTACTTCTACTTTTACTCAAGTACAAGATCTAAGTACTTCTACTTTTACTCAAGTACAAGATCTGAGTACTTCTACTTTTACTCAAGTACAAGACCAGAGTACTTCTACTTTTACTCAAGTACAAGACCTGAGTACTTCTACTTTTACACAAGTACCAGATCTGCGTACTTCTACTTTTACACAAGTACCAGATCTGAGTACTTCTACTTTTACACATGTACCAGATCTGAGTACTTCTACTTTCACTCAGGTACAAGATCTGAGTACTTCTACTTTTACTCAAGTACAAGACCTGAGTACTTCTACTTTTACTCAAGTTCAAGTGCTGAGTACTTCTACTTTCACTCAGGTACAAGACCTGAGTACTTCTACTTTTACTCAAGTACAAGACCAGAG